TTAAAGTTGACAAAATGGTTTTGTAAACTGAAGAGACTATACGTTGAAATATGTATTACCCTGCAATATTATTTTTGAAAGGCATCATTCATAGTATATTTACAATTTACAGTAGCAGCAAATCAACGTTTCAAATGCTTCCCTTGCAGTTCTTATAAAAAGACTCAGTCAATCCTTTCTTTAAAGGTGGGCTTCAGTATTAAGAAAAAAAGATCTAAAAATGCATTTTTATTATAGTAAAAATGCTACCATTTATCTAATCGGTTCCTTTGCTATCTGTAAGCTTACAGCTCTAAAGTTTTTGAAGTTAACACTGTCTTGGTTTGGGCTGAAATAGAGTTAATATTCCTTTTCAGGGACTAGATGAGTGCTGTGTTTTGGATTTAGCTTTGGGTTTGGTATGGGAAGAATGCTGACAGCACACTGATGTTTCCAGCTGCTACCGAGACTTCAAGGACTCTCCGACTGCCCGTGTCCTGCCCGTGCGCCAGGGCACAGGGAGCAGGGAGGGAGCACGGCCACAGCACCTGACCCAAACTGGCCCGTGAAATATTCCATATCATGGCACGTCATGCTCACTACAGAGAGGAGGGGTGGTGGGGAAGGGGCTCTCTCTCTCTCTCCCTTCCAGGATGGCGACTGTGGGATCTTGGTATCTCGGGGTCGCTGGCCGGGAACGGGCTGGGGGTTGGTCAGCGGGTGGGGAGCAATTACGCTGTACATTGCCTGGTTATATATTTCTTTTTGTTTTCCCCCCATCATCGTCATTGTTCTCGTTTTATTGCCATTATTAAACTGTTCCTATCTCAGCCTGCGAGTCTCCCTTCACCCCTCTGATCCCCTCCCCCATTCCCAGGTGGGGAGGGGGACGGGAGGGTGACCACCTGCGGGGGTTGGCTGCCAACCAGGCCCAAACCACGACAAACACCAAGTTAAAAAGAAAATAAATCTGCAATTACAAAGCGGTTAGAATCCAAGGCTTGTATCCTATTTTCAAGACAATACCTCGTGCAGAAAAGCACCTAAGAAATTCTTCAATGCTGACTCATTATGGGATCTATTAAGTACTATCCAAATAATGACGAAATTAAAAATTATTTAATTTAGAAAATCCAATAACCTAACAATTTAAGAAGTTATGCCTCATCTTCGTTTTAATTAGCAATAGTGGAATCCTCTGTGCCGTTATGCTACCCAACATTTCCAAATGAGTACCTTACTGCAAATCACTCTTAACAGATGGGGTTTTTTTAACTTGTTCTTATATAATCGTCATTCTGAGTTACTTCAACCAAATTCATCCCTTGAAAGATGCTTCACACAAGGTCTACACTAATTCTTAGAATGAAATAATGTGGCTGAGAGTCCCTCACACACACTGTGCTCCTCTCTTTGGATTTCTGCATATTCAAACTTTTTAACAGATTTTTTGAAAGCCTAAAACATGAGTTGCCCCTATTTCAATTCAGATTTTTTTGAGCTGTAGAAAGCACAATGGTGGTGAAATGCCAATATTTTCATATTATATTTGAATTTTTAAAAAACCCTTCCTTCTTCCAAATAAAATGTTTACACAGAAATAAATATTGATTCCCAGACTTGCTCTCATGCCAATTTCATTCAGAGTTAATTTTCATGGTCAAATTTGAAATTGCTTAAAGGAAAAACTTTCAACATCAGCAGGTCTAGCAGAACCTACTTCAGGACTCAAAGATCATCCTCTTACACCATGAATGCTATCTGGTGTTTGCTTAAGAATGGTAAAATCCTAAATGCCAACAGAGAGGGCTCAATCATTAAACGATAAGAAATTGTTCCTCATCTGAAATAATTAAAAATTCATGGCATACGCTGAATGAAAGAGCCCAAGATTATGACTGCTCAGGTCAGTGAAAAGATTCTCAGTAGCACCCATGAAATTTAGATCGAACCTGTATTTTCAATTAACACCATATAATGAATTCAGAATAACTTAACATGTATTGTGCTTAGCTCCTACTGAGCTCACAATATTTGTATTGAAGTATTACCAGTAAAATCTCAACTCTTTATTCTTCAGTCTTTCTTGAGAAAAAACCCAAGCCTGTCAGTATTTTAACCCACATTACATTTGAGTTCAGCAGAGAACTGACTATTGTACAACTGCTCAGTTCACTTCATGGCATCATTATGTATTTCACTGGATATTTCCCTTACCTTACTCATTTAGCCAAACATATTTCAGAGCCAGTAATGTGGATGGTTTGAAAAAAATAACTGCACTATTAAAATGGACAAGGTTTAGTCACACAACATTAAGACTACTATATTCTCAAATGTGGAACTTTAATTTTTCAGACCACATGCAAGTGAACTGTCTTCCGCTGTACATGAAGGCCGCATTAACCATCACTAAAAATTTTACAGCATCTCTGTTGGCAAAGCTATTTTTCAGACAACAGACATTTGAAAATCAGTCCCAATAAAAAGCTATGTTGAGACAGTAACCAACACTACAGTGGAAGTGTCCAGATACAGAAAGATTAAGGGGAACACAGGCTACCTGTAAAACTCTTCTGCATCAATGTGTACAGACTTTTTTCAAAAGTAAAGGCAAAAGTTTTTCATGCTTATGTTCTTCTGACAGGTGCACTGTAGTTTCTTGACACTCAAGTTCAAGTGTCATGTTAAACCTCTTAGTTTGTTTTTGGCTGTGTGCACAGGACACTCATGGCCTGAATTTCAAGTAATGTTTTTTGATACCCTGTATTATTTTCTAACTATGTGTTCATCCCCTTATTTTTGAGGACGTTCACGGTGTAATGCTAAGTGGACTAAAATGGCTTTCTAGTAAAAAAAATAATTTAAGTTAAGCACTTCGCCAGTTCCAAGAAGAGGAGGGATCACAGATGGCATGTGAACCTACCACTGCGATGGAGTGCTGGGAGTCCCACTCAGACTCACAGCTCCACTGCATCTGTTAAGACCACAACGTTTCATTAACCCACAAGTAGCACAGGATGCATTTTTGGCCAACCTTGTCCTTATCTCTACAGAGAATATTTTTCTCTTGTACTTGGAGACTGTTCCCACAAACCAAAGTCGTTTCTATTTAAAGGAAAACCGCAATGTGGCAGGTACGTGTTGTACCTAATTCCAAAAGGACAGCTCACAGTTTTAATGCCTATAATGTAATTTAGTATCAAGCAGATGATATGGACAATGAAATAAGAATAAAGGTCATTGCTCCTCAGGATGGTTTTTGCACTCCCACATCTTGCATCGCAGGTAGAATTGGGCCTAAATCATCGCTAAATCATCAAGTTTTTTTGTGCACTGCAATGGGACCTTTTCACTGCAAGAGTCTCACGGTCAAGACTGAAAGCTCAAATACAGAAGAGCCTAGTGACACAGAAAAAGTACCCGAGAGTGGTTTCAGGTCTCTAAAATGGAAGTCAGAAATCTAAGCAGATCTGAAAATACTGTGTGGCAACTTTCTGGGTCACAAGGTGCTTTTATGACTTAAAAAAAAAATATAAACTCGGGGATTTATCATGTGTGGTTTGGGTTTTTTGGAGGATAGTAGTAACCTGTCCTAAAATTCAATTAAATAGTCTTATTTGACAGCCTTTAAATTGGGCTTGAACTGCCCAGCAAAGTGTAAATAGAGTAAATAAAAAGGCACAAAACTATGAAAGCTAGAAGTCTAACTACTAAATTGGTAAAAAGAATTTTAGATCTCTATTAAAAGTTTACTACACAAAAATTATAGAGGGACTATGCCTTTCCCAGACTTTCTAATAATAAACATTGGCTTCCTTAATGCAACCTGCTTCCCAGCAATATGTGGGGAAAATGCCAGTTCTCATGGTGACAGAATCATTCACCATAACCAAGTTAATTAAAACACAGTTATTTGTAAACTCTGATGTACATATTTTAAATAATTCATCTAACAAACACTAGTTCAGCAACTGAAGACTAATTACTGCAGTTTTCCTTTAAATATTCTTGCACTATGTAATCAGATATTTATCTCCAAAAAAACCCAAACTTCTAGCACAAGAGGCATAAAGGCATGTAACCCAGTAAAAATTGGCAAGCCGAAAAGTTTATTTTTATGTGGTTTTATTTTTGATTGCGATATGAAGATTGCCACATGATGACGGTTCTATGGTATAATACGCTGCAAGAATAATTCACACAAAATCCTGCTCACGGCACTTGGGCTATTAAAATAACAAAGACTCAGCAGACAAAAACCTTGAGCAATTCCTCTTCTGCTAATAAAATCAGGAGAAGGCCCCTATAATTTGCTGCCTCCAACCTTAAGAGATATATCAGAAAATTCAAAGTATAGAAATTATAGATCCTTATGACATAGGAAATGGTAACAGCTTTGTCTAAAACGTTGTAAATGTAGGTGTAGATATAGCTTGGGCACCTGTGTAAACAAATTCATATTTATGTCCTAAAATAGGTGACCAGCTGCAATCTGCAAGAATTTACAATAAGGCTAAGTAGGTTTGTCATGCACTGAAACACAGAGCTGAAAGCACAGCATAAGTGCAATAAGGAACATGGCCTTACTGTAACAAAGGCAACAGGTATGCCATGTTATTTCCAACACAGCTGCCAAGCTGTGGTCTTACTATATTAAAGCAAAGCTGGCCACTTATCTTAAGAATGTAATTATTAGATTACCACCATCTAATGGGATTTGACAGCACTGATAGGAGTTCATATAAGCTAACAATGGAAAAGATCTGAAAATTCCAGAATTCAAAGATAGTCCTTCCTCCAATTTAGCATTTCTATGCTTTGTTGGTGTGCAAAAATGCACTGAAACCTCAGACCAGATTTTAAAATTTGCCCATGTCGTGTTAATATACTGCAGTCTTCAAATTTACACAGAGCTGCAGTTCTCCTGGTTTTTCTCAAGCGTCACTCATCTAATTTAACATGACAGCTGAGAAACGATGTCAGATGCGTTACAGTTCAGTTTAAAAAACATCCTCTACCTGGTATCTCTGCAGTGATTGTCTTGCTGCTCCCTGAAACCTCTTCATCATCATCTGATGAACTCGTGCTCGAGTCACACGTCAGGTCACTATCACTGGTACTGCTGTCCTGCAGCAGGTTGTACTTCTTGCGAGCAGCTGCCTCTCGTTTCTGTCTTAAGAGCCGGATTCTTTCTTTGTGCTTTTGGCTTCGATGACCTTTTACCTTGGTAACTCGACCATTCTGCTTATCACTAGACTGTCGATTTTTCTTGGCAGCCATTGTTGAAGTTTCACTTTCAGACCTGGATCGCCTGGATTTCCTCCCAACTGCAGCCCCAGACACTGCAGAAGGGTCTCCCTCTGCAGCAGTTTCAGCTTGACAGGGCTCATTCTCTTCTGTGGAAGACAATGTATCTGAGTCAGCCAAATGCCCACTGGAAGAAGGGGAAAGCATGCAGTGATTAGAAGAGTCACTCTCATAAACTCGACCACCCGTGGGCTTATCGCTCTCTGTAGATGCTAGCTGAGACTCTGAGGAGTCTCGCCTCAGTTCCATCAGTAAGCAAGGCATTGAAGACAGCACTGCAGAGTCTGCTACAGTGGGCACGTCGTCTTTCTGAGTTTGTGTCTCGAGTTCTATAGGCCCATCTTCATCAGGAGTAGTCTCTTGCTTTTCAGAAGTCTTTGGTGGAACTTCCGAATCAACAAGTTCTTCTGCTTTTCCCACTGCCTCCATCTTCATTTCAGAACAGCAAGGTCCTCCTGGTCTCAAAGCATGGAGTATGTGGTCTGGAAGACTGGATGAACTAGTTACTGACTTCAGCAATACAGCAGCCTGCACAAGAACAGAACAGGAAAAATAATTTACCTACATAATTCACTCAATCCTGCTCTTCACAGTATTACCTACGCAACTCATTGCTTTCAATTACAGACAGTGTGGTTCAATATCATACTGGTTTTCTTTATTTACTTTTTCCTAGTGAACTCATCCAGTCACACCAAACTGTTCTTCCTTTTATACACCCATGAAAAATGGTATTGAAATCCCATTAAATGTGATTCAATTGATGAGAATAATCAGAACAGATCAGAAAATAGTAAAATTTCTAAACTCTTACTTTCCAAAATTTACATCAGTGTATTATAAGCAACATATGCTAAACTTCTTTACCTAGAACTTTGGACATATTTTAGTGGGGAATTTTAGCCCTTATGAATAATGCCAGCTTGAAAATTCCCAGACTTTGTAGTCATCTACTAGGACAGACCGGAATGTAGTTCAGTTTCCTTATCTACGAGAAATCTACTTTCAGTTGAAGAGCACCTCAACCTTGTAAAATTACAATGTTTTACATCGATTTGCAAAGTTAGAGTACCAGAGTGACATAGGAGAAATCCAGTCACTTTGAACGGAAACTGAGCAGCTGCTGAACATTATAGACCAAGATTGAAAACACCTTCCTTTTCCAGTGGAACTGCTCTGCCAGTAGATCTTACATACCAAAGATGTGTTTACAAGAAGTGCCATGAAGTGATAGTAACTTGTCAGAGACACAGGGTTTACGACATCTACAGGCAACGTCTTTGGAAGCATCAGCTGTCTGTACCACAGATTTGCTCTCATCATGCTGGTGAGTCAGGCAAAGATTTTTTAGGAGCCTCCAATACACCATTCAAGTGCTCCCTGAGTGTCTCCCATACAAGTCCTAGTTGTATGAGAACCTACAAGCTGACCTAGTTCTCTCAAATCTGCCAGGAAAACAGCATTAAGTAGTATAGGCTACAAGCAAGAAACAGTATCCACCCACACCAGTATCCTACATTTTACTTCAAGTTACAATTTAAACAACTGCATTGCTTCAGTGCAAATACAAAACCCAAGCTATTTACCTGATTGATAACTTGCACATTATCAACCCAAAAGTACTTGAAGCACTTTCAGTGAAATTCTGGTTTAGAGACCAGTACTTATTATTTTATCTTCATTTTTCACATTTTGCCTTCCATCTGACTTTTCACTTGGAATTCAACACAGAATAAGTATCTTTCAATTACTACATTCACCTACAGATGAGTGGTATGGAACAAATCATTTATGGGTTTAGAAATATAGTAAACAAATTTATGGCACTTCAAAAAAGCATAGGCAAGAAAAAGCAGTGGTAAGATTTAATCCACTGTTTTTTAAAAATGCATTTCTGCAGATAAGGGCCATTAGTACTTGAGCAGCCTGAGAAAGCATGGATGCTTCAGCAAGATTTTTCTTTGCCCTGACAATCCTTCTTCAGTTTCCTGATCCATCCCAAGATGCCTGTAATTGTACGTATGTAACTGTATGCTGCTTCCCCCCATCTGCAGCACAGGCGGCTACTTCCCTACTTCTAAGGGGTGCTGTGAAAAGCTTAGTGTTGTCCTGTCTGCCCTAACCCACTTTGAAACTTCATTTTTAAAGAATACTGAAATAGAGTTCATGCACCCTTCAAGCTAACTAATTAAATGCTGTATGGTGCAAAGGAATTATGAAAATACTTATGAGAGAGAAACACCAGTTAAAGAAAGCTTAGTTAATACCAGACAACACAAAAAAGATGGAGATGACAACTCTAGGACTGCTAAATATAGTTTAAAAAAAAACCCAAACCCAAAAAAACAAAAGCACCACAACAAAACCCAAAACGGAAACAGTAAACCCAACATTTTACTTTCCAAAGGAGAAAAAAAAGAGAATAAAATATATACTGTAAAATACAGAAACATTATATATAAAGAAAAACATTTGCCAATACTTGCAGTAAGTAAAACTCTCTTGAAAGAAACTTAAAAGAAGAATTTCTGGAGATGATAATTTAATATGGGCAGTAAGAACTTAAGAACCAATTTATTTTCAAGGCCACACCACAGCATCAAACCCAAATGATGAATACATGTGTGTTTGAGACATAAACACATCCCAATTCTCTAATAAAATCGGTATTTCTACATATTTAATCTGCAAATCTACATTATCAAATAATTCTACCATACCGGTAAGTAAAACACAGGTTTGATGACTGGCCAAGAGTTATACACAGTGGGACGTGTGTTGTACCTGCTAGTGCAACTCCCAGCTCTGCTCTCATCATGCGCTTTGAAAAGAGAAATATTTTTTCTAAGAGTTTTTGAAATGTACATGCAGTGAAAAAACTGGCTGCTCAGACACATACCAGAAGAAAAATAAGTATATTTAAATATTCATACTAATAACTGCAGAACAGCTTCTGCACTATTCATCCTTTTAAATCTGGAAGCATAAACAATAGACCTTGACACAAATCTAAAGGACAGCCACAGTGAACTAGACACTTCTTTCACAAACGTCCTGTCTGGGGACATCATCTACCTCACAGCTCCCAAAGGGACTATAAGAATACCTGTACTTGTCTTTCCATGTCTCTGGCCTATCAGCCAGAAAAAATTATGTTTCCTCTACACATTGCCACCTTGCTAACAGCCTAGTTACAATGATTTAAGAAGATTTTTTTTATAATTAAGTAGGATCTTACTTTACTTACTCAAACCATGCTGGAACCTCATAGAGTGATCAAGGAGTTATATTTTCAGCGAGAAGGCAGCATAGAGACTAGTAACTTCACAAAAGTACATCTGGATTCTGAGTGTGAAAAAAATACTTAACTCTGATAAGGTTTGTACTCTCCATGTCCCCTGAACTGACTATTTAAACATCAACAATCCAAGTATTAGTATGTATATAAAAAAGCACTTCATATTTATCTCAGTGGAAAAAAAGTCTATCATGACTCAGACTGCCACAGAGAAGAATACAGACAGTTCAGGGGAAAACATCTATGCCAAGGAAAGCATTGTCTCCAAGACAGAAAAAACATACTGATTTAGTTCTACTTGAGAAATGTATAGATCAAAGACAGGAAGAGACTACATTGAAAAACTCCCATTCCCTTCTTGCCACCCACTTTTCTGGTAGCAGTAGTAGAAAAGGTAATCTCAAAGTGAGGCTAGAGAAGGAACATTTTTTTACTTAAATGAGAACACAGCACTGAAGAGTAAGTTGTGATGCTTACAGACACAGATGGATACTTAATTAGAAATTGTTCTGAAACGTCATTCTCCTTTTTCTGATGCACAGATACTGCACTGATGATTTTAAAAGGCAATTCTGTAAAAACTTCTGTGGTAAATTTTTCCAACTGAAATTATTTTTTCAGCTACACACAGAACATACCAGTATGCAGAAGCCATTAAATATCTAACTGTACCTTTACCTGGGAAATATTTTCAAGTCATAGACTTATTTGTAAAGGCATATAATTTGTACACTATGAAACCTGCACTTCAGCGAAAAAAAACAGAAGGATTTTGAAGGCAAGATTAGCAGAGACAGCCCAGCCAGTCTACCAGTTCACTGTCACTAACAGAGATGGGTTTTATCCCCTACTTTTTTACCAGCTAATTGTGACCATGTAGTCATATACACTCCTTTACACCAGAACTGGCTCATTCTTTCTTGGGTAGATTTACTTCACTAAGCCAGAAGAAAACAAGTAAGTGAAATTTTCTGCCAGAGCTGGCAGGAAGGAGGGAAGGAAGGGCGAGCACAAATCATCCCTTCAGAAAAAAACAAATCTGATTAAAAACTACCTGCTGTTTGGTCTCACGGGTTCCAACTAGACACAGGAGAGGGTACTGTTTCTTTCACAGCACTGTTTGTTCTGCAAGATTCTTGAAGATAAAATATTAAGAAGCAAAAAGTTAAATTCAGAGATGTTAGTAGCATCCTAAAGAACAACTATTATAGAAAGTATGATATTAAGTAATGTGCACTACTGCACAGAGTTACACTGAAGATGGCAGCCATGCCCTTTATTAATCAATAACTGGCCACTCATACTGTTGGAAAATGGGTGAATTGTTTAGGGTAGCATAAGAACTTAAGCAATCAGTTGAACTGCAACACACTGTCCATTGCACAGAGGTCCTTGAGCTAAGCAAGTATGATAACCACCTCCTGCGAAATGTGTAAGTGAAGGGGCTCCATGTGTAAACTGGAAGACTCCTAATCAGAAGCCCCTCTACTTGAAGATTAAGGCTCTCTGAAAAATACTGAACAAGCTGAAGCTAGGTGGCAGATAAGAAAGTGCAGACAAAAATCAAAGAAAGGCCAATTCCAAAGTGTAAACAAAGTTCAAGAAGGGCTCCTCTCCAAAGACCACCAGAGACTGCTAGAGACCATCAATAACCCCCATGGAAGCCCCTCAGAGGCTTAAACTGCATGCGAAATAACTATGTAAATATGATAATGAATTTTAGGAAATTTAATGAGTATGTACGTAACAGAGTGATACAAGCTTTGGCTATTATAATGTACAGTGGACAGGTCAGGTGGAATGCTTCCCTCATGTCCCCAGCCAAATAAAGTAATGCTAAACCCAGCGTTAAGGAGTTTTCATTCTTGATTTCAGTGACAACGCATCCTTCATAATATTTTTATTTGGTTTGCTCTCAGTAAATGTTGCTTTTTATAATTGCATCACCTGCAATGTCAGAAGAAAATCAGTTTCACCCAAACAAATGATAAGGCCTAAAATACTTAATAAACACCATGACACCCTAACCTTAATTGTACATTGACATTTTAGGTGTTATTGAACTGATTAATGATAATGAATGCCTAGCTTATATAAAGTAAACCAGCTCTTTTTCTTAGCAGCTGTGGATATGGCAGATTGTTACTTCAGAAATACTAAGTTTTTCATAGCAGCTTGCTGATAAATCCATTTTAGTTTATTACTGACATATTTCCTCTTATTCAGAGTC